CCGCCTCGCAGCTCCCGGCGCCCTGGGGACCCCGGGCGGGCGCGTTCCCGCCTCCTTGGCCATCCGCGCGTCCCGAGCCCTCGCTCACCTCCTGGGAGGCGGCGTTCCGGCTCTAGCTGTCCGGAACCGAGGTCCTGGGCGCCTCCGGGCTGCAGGGCGGGCGCACTCGGTGGGCGGCGGACGCAGCGCGCCCGAGAGTGTCGCCTACTTGCTCGGTCCCCTGAGAAGGCTCCGCCCGAACGTGCCAGGGAAGTGAGGTTCGGTTGCCTCCCGATCTGGGGATCGCGGTGACCTTCGTGCCTCCTCCTCGCGTCCTTCTCTGACCCTGCGGGTGTGGCCGGTCCTAGGAGGGAGCGGGCGAGCAGGCAGGCACACCTGGACAGCCCAAAGACAGCAACGCAGCACCTGGGGTAACAACAGGGCGCTTTTGCGCGCCTGTTTTCATTTGACAGTTGCAATACTTACTTCAACTGAAATGTCGCCATAGCTGAAGATCAGAGGGGCCTAGTCTAGGGTGCTACTGCATAGGTGCTCAGTTCTTCCTGAAGTCGCGTGTATGGAAGGGGAGGGTAGAATGTAGAAGTTTTTGCCTAGTGTAGAACACAGACCACCCTCCCATGACATCTATAATAATAGTTAACTACTTGTTGTTGGATCTTTAGTTGACAACTTCTAACCTCTTTGGCGAACAATTCAGTTTTCATTAGGCATCTGCAAACTTTTACAAATTCATATTCCCACTATTAGCACACCACATTGCTGTCCTTTGTTTATGAGGTTAATGTTCCTGGTCTACAGGAAAGGGGACTTCGTGATGAGTTGTTTTACTAGACAGAGAGACTGCTTCATGTTTCACATAGACAATGAGATACCAACGTGCTAAGAGAGCAGGTCGAGATGGCTAGGTACTTTATGATTCTAGAACAGTTTTCTAGTGTCACAGTGTACTGGGGTGTTGTGGGTGAATGTTTAGTTCTGGTGTCTTTTATCACCATGCCAAAGATAACCAAAGAGTAAACCTCTCTTTTTTCCCATTTAAAGAAGAGCATTTAAAAGGGGGAATTTTTTTTCATAAGCCTAGCTTTACATAATCTTCCAGAGCTGAATGTCAGCCCATGGAAATGCGCATTCATTTTTCTTTCTATGCAAGATAGTGGTGATTACAGTATACAGAATGTTAGCTACTGTAATAGCCTAATGATGCAAGATAAAGCACACCCAAATGGTACAGTGCCTGGAAGAGTAGATATCTCATAAATACCCTCTGAACGAGTGAATGAAATCCAAGCAGAAAGTGGCCTGTTTTACATTTTGCAGGAGGACATGAGGGAATCAATTATAAGTGATCAGGAAGTGATCAGGGAACATATCCTGGGAGTGGTAACTGGTGCAATATTTTGATATAAAGATTGTGAAAGGACGGAAGTAAGAAAAAATGTTTGGTGCAATATCAAGATGTGATGTGGCAGAGGTTCTTAACCTTTTGTAGGAAATAGTGCTCTCCTATGAATGTGACAGCTCTGGAATGCCTTCTATAATAAACAATGGTAAACACATTTGCATATGCTTTCTGGGAGTTTAAAGGCTGGTTGAAGCAAATCTGTGGAAGCCTGTGGTCTTAAGTTACCAATTTCTTGTTTGGAAGCAGGGACAAAAAAAAAAAAAAAAAAAGATTGCATTAATGGGCTTTCAGTCATTGTGACAAAACAATTTGTGAGAAGAACAGGTTTATTTTGGCTCACTGTGTCAGAGATTACTGTCCATGGTCAACTTGCTGGGCTCCTTTTGGGCCTGTGATGAGACAGAATATCATGTTGGTGGTGAGTTTATGGTAAAGCAAACCACATGACAACCCAGAAGTAACAACTGAAAGAGGATGGGAAGCTAAGAGCAGAAGAGGGGTGAAGGCCCCAACATTCCTAGAGGACACACACCCAGTGACCTAACTTCCTCCCTTTAGACCCCACCTGCTAATGGTTCCACTACTTCCTGATGGTTCCATGGGCTACTGACCAAGCTTTAGCATATAGACCTTTAAAAGGCATCTTAAGATCCAAAGTATAACAGAGATTATTCTTGTTGACATCTTGTTAAGAGTCATTTCTAGGGCCATCAAAAGAATTTGGGTCATGGCGTTGGAAATGGAGAAGTGTGTGCTGTGAACAGTATTTGTACACTAGAGAAATATACCAGACTTTCAACAGTTTATGTCCTTCTTGTACATGAGAATTTCATGCTTCAGGGAGAATGAAGAAAGAATAGATGAAAAGGACTGTCTAAAACACTGACTGTTGCTGAGGCCAGGCACGTACATAGAACAAATTGCATTATGAGCTGGCCGTAGTCTGGACAAAAAGTAGACTAGTGTGGGCAGATGGGCAAGTGGTCCACTTCTTTCTAAATTTATTTTATATTGATTAGATAATCTCTGCTATATTATTTGATACACTTGTACACTTTATTTGTTATATGTATGATACATTATTATTCATAATGCTACCTATTATTATTTTTATGTACTATATACCAGTGCTGGAAAACCTATGATATGTGTTATTTGTTTTTGTTTTAAGATAAAAGATGTTAATGTGTACTTTTTTCTAAACAAGGACCTCAATATTCAAGTTTAATTTCAATGTTGATACTTTGCAATTAATAAGTGAGTTTGGGGCTACAGTTTGGGCACTCATCTGTAAAAGGCTTGCCACCACTGCTATATGCTATAGATTATTATTCCACATGCTATTATAATATATATATATATATATACACACACACACACATTATATAATATAGCTAATTCAGTTCCTTTACCAGCTAACTCTTGGCTCTGGCATGTAATTTTGGAGGCAGCTGGTGGCAGTTCAGTAGCCTCAGAGTCTCAGAGCACCTGCCTGGTTAATCACCAGCTTCTGGGAATGGCAAGCACAGTAGGAACTTACATTCAAACTGGTATTGTAGGGCTGGTGCCCTCCATAAGGAATTATCTAGTTTCCTTTTCTATAAGGCAGTGACCTGCAAAGCATTACCAAGGAGAAAAGTGCAGTATTGGACAATGACAAAGTGACCCAATGAGGTTTCATTTCCCTGGGCGTCTTAGAGGCAAGACCTGGATTTGAACCCAAATCAGGAGTGCTAGAGCACATGCACTCTATAGCACTTTGTTCACTGCCTTCGAAAAGCACAGAGTTAAACTGAGTCTCATGCATGATTGAGTCACAATGCAGGGAGTAGCAGATGCCATGGTGACTGAGGAGCTCACCCTCCTGACCTTCCTGGAGTGCTGCATTTCCTCATGGACTGTCCTGGACTGTCCAGAACCTTCTAAGCTGTTTATAGTTGTAGAGTATTTACTCTCATCCCTCAAGTAGCTTCTTAAGCAATTCTAGTGCAGGTTAGCTATTCCTCTTCTCTGTAACCTGAACTGATACAACCCAGTAACCTGCTGGTTTCTGATATAACAGCCATAGCAGGAAGTGGAACAGTGACTGTTGTTTCCCTGACTTTAGCCCATATAGAGGCCTTTTTTTTCTTCTTACAAAACTAGAAAATATACCTGCTTAGAAATTTATGTCTTTTTTAAGGAAGGAGAGGTTTATTTAGCTCACAGATTGTGCAGGTTTCAGTCCATACTCTGCTGGCCCCAAGGCAAAGTGGCACATAGCAGAGGGCAGCAGTTCATAGTGGCCAGCTAAGGCAAGCCTCTGTCCCTTCCTTATATTGCATTTAGCCTGTCCACAGATATAGCACTCACACCCATAATCCCAGAAGCACTCACATCCATAATCCCAGCATTGGATTATGAATTAATCCCAAACTCTAGAAGCCCACCCCAGTGACTGCATGAGGCTTTGAGGGAACAACTGGACACAAACCATAATACAGTCACATATAGTATCTACTTATCCTGTTTCACAGATGAGAAGACAGAGTTTAGATTGGTTAAGCAAGTTATCTAAATTCCCATACTACAATATTTACTCTAAATGATTAGGTCATATTGCTTAGAATTCAGGCAGAAATTCATGATCAGTGTTTGGAGGAAATTCTATTATGGAGATAGAAATTGAAAAGCCAAATAAGGATCCAGAAGGGATGCATTAGGGCATTATGGAAGTCATTTCAGGAACAGTAAGGACCTCCCAGGTGTGCAGGGGAGCAACAGGCGATAGGCCTAGAAAGGCTGGTGGAGGTTGTATTTCATTCTGGAGGCAAGAAGATGTTAGTATTAAAGGGTTAAAGCAGAGGAGCAACAGATTCAGGTTTGCTTCCTAGAAAGCTCAGTGTGGCTATGGTGAGAGACCTTGCAAATGGTAGGAACAGTGCTAAGACTGATCTTGGGGACACCTGGAATGAAGACAGCGACAGCCTGGGCAGAGAGGAGGGCACAGAGGAGGGCACTGTGAAAATCTGGAATCAACAAAACTGACTGACTCTGAATGTGCACCATGTCAGAAGGCAACACTAAGATTTCTGACTCAGGTAGTCTAGATGAACATACAGAGGTCACTTTTCTACTTGTAGATCTAATGCACAGCTAGGATTACAGAAATATGTTTGTCATAGACTTATTCTGACCTTAGGCTTTTGTTTATCCTGAATCAAACCCAAACCCTTTGGTAGTAAACTCTCCTATCACTAGATACCATAGGATTTTTTAAAGATAGTACAAATTAGAATTAAAACAGAAAAAATTAAAGTGATACAGAATTTCACTTAACAAAGTAGTATGAATTTTGCAGTATTTGTTGTACTACAAAGGGTTGTCCTCCAACCAGCTATTCATATTACCAGTTGTATGCATGTAA